TTACTTTTAATTTTTTACATATCAAACATAATAAATAATGAATTCTCAACAAATTTTTAACCTATGTCACAGAGTTTCCGGTACTCCGTGTAATTGTGAGTCTTTTCTATTGATCTTCATTATCTTTGCTGCTCGATACCTTAACGACTAGACTAGATTATATTTCCTTTGAGCGAAACTTGCTCTTTTGTTAATTAATCTCATCGCTTTAAATACAAGTTTATCTCCGGATATATAATTATCCCAGGTTCATGCATTAATATACTGTATCGATATTACTAATTAGACTGCAAATTAATTTTCCTGCATTATGCATACGTATGCAAATTCAAATCACGCACTTATGCAACCCGATTTATAATGAATACTGCTATGCCATTTTTCGTTTGATAAAATTTAAATATTAATATTAATATTCGCAAGAAAAAATATTTGTTGCTGGAATGCAACTTTCGTTAACGATTCAATAAATTAATTCTATTGCTATTGCAACAAAAGATTTAAATTGGTAAAATAATTAAAGAAGAAACAGACGCAGCAGAATTTAAAGTTTCGGCAGCCGGTTTAGTAAAAAGTGTTTTAGGTGACATAACTTAGATCACGAAAGACAGAAAGAGTATGCTCAAGTATTTAATTCCATAAATATCGTCGTTGATTGAAATGCTATTTAATTGATTGATTGAGATGCTTGAGAACACCCTAAGTCTGTAAGTAGTCGATATAAATGCAGTCTTATATAATTTTGTAATGAATATTCTAATAAGTGCTTCAATCGCATCTCCAATCTGAGCATAATTGCAATAAGTTATGGTTAAAATTAATTTTTAGTTATAATTTTATATAGTTAAATCTAATTTCGTTTAATTGAGGCATAAAGTTTTTCGGAGTTTTCGGAGTCGAATTTGAGTATAACAAATATGTTTTTTATTAACTTAATTAGGAAATTAATCTATGCATAGTTTTGAATAGTTTAAATATGAAAATTAAAAATTTTCCGATACGTACCACTTTACGTACGTACGTACATGTGTACAAGATTTATTTACTTCTTTGTCAAAAAATTTCACTATCAACGAATTTATGTATGTACAGAAATTCTGTATACGAGTTTTAATTGGGTACTTTAGATTTTTAACAATAAACAATAAATTGGTGTAATCTAGTTGAATTACTTTTTTTATAGGATGTTTAAGAATAGCTTACTTAATTTAGTATTTCTTTACATAATGATTGAAAACTTTAAGGATCACTTTTTTACACTTTCTAACTCGTCAACTAGTTTACACCTTACTCTAATTTTAAAAATATAATAATCTTCACTTATACACTCCTTTGATTTCAGAATGTCAACCAACTATGTGTTCGATCTTTCCGATCTTGAGATAAACAGTTTAGCTACCTCTTTTATAAATGCCCTAATGGTCATTGACGAACAAAAATGTCCAGAAGTCCGCACTATTGAAAGTTTGAAACTCCACTACTACATTGATAAGTCCTATAAAGGAAATATATTACCTTATAATAAAGAGACTCAACACTTGTTACGTTTAGAAGATGATAAAATCTTATTACCTTCTCTTGCAAATGAGAATGACATTGATGAACATGTTCAAAAATTGAACAACATCTCTGTTTCCGAGAGACAGAGTTATAATGCGGGAATAACTATTCAGTTGGTAATTCGATTTTTAGTGTACTCATTACAATTTCGAAGATGTATGTCCTCTGTACCCAA